GACGATGCCCAGGGCATGATGGCGGCGATGCTGTCCCACGCCTACGGCCCCGGCGGCTGCGGGGCGGCGGCGGCCGCCCTGAACGGGGAGCAGGCGGCCCTGCTCCGGAGGAAGAGCGTCAACACCACCGAGTGCGTCCCGGTGCCCAGCTCCGAGCACGTCGCGGAGATTGTAGGTCGCCAGGGTGAGTGCGGGTGTGTGGGGAGGGTGTCCAGCTGGGCATGGCCCGGGGCGTGGGTGGGGAGACGAAAGAAACGAGCTTGGGGCGGAAAAAGCGAACCTGGCGAGTCCACCGCCAAGGGGTCTGGGAGGAGCCGAGGGTCGACGAGATGAGAAGATGGGTCACCTTGTGAAAACCCCACGGTGTTCCGCTTATTTGCACAATAAAAGGTAGTAAGTTTCTCCAGCCACCCAATCCGGCGGCGTTCACTTTGCTCGGTCTGTATTCCTAACACTTGGCTGGCGTGGCACCGAAAAACCTAAGTGAGGTGGTAAAAGGTCGGTGGGTTGTGGATTCGATTATGTGCACGGAAAGCTTCGAGACTGCAAGTTTGCGCAGCGGACTGTCTTGTAAAAGCGCTCAGTTTCTCTTACAGTAAGCAGCTGGTTCGGGTGAAGAAATTGACAGAAATGGTGTCTTGTAGAAAGAGCTCATTCGAGAGGGAAGGGGATGTTCAAGTGGTCGTTACCACCCCCCCCCCCTCCGCCCCTCTGCTATTCTGAAACTTAGCTTTTGAAGAGCAGTTTGAAACTCTCTGTTGATCTTATTGTATTCCTTTTGATACATTTTTAACTCTCCAAAAGGCACATTGGCTACCTTTTAGAACACTTCAGGGCACACGATGAAGAAAAACTGGACAGTAAAGTCGTTAAGTTAAGGAACTTCATGCGTTTATACAGTTTTCAGTAAATTCTCTTCTTCACTTGCCAGCACACCAGTACTGCAGACAGACTCCTCCCACATTGTTCAGACAAAGGACCTATGTCTCAGATTCCAGGAGTAGATTTGTGAAGGTGGGGGGAAGGGGATGCCCAGAGTACCTCTGTATCCGACATTTTTAGGGAAGATCCTATGCTCTTTAGTGTAGTTTTCCCCCCTTTACTAAGGGAGTAAATATTACCTGCAGCTGACTTATTACAATATGATTTAACCTGGTTGATGCCTTTCTCCTTACTGTTAGGTTGACAATAGTGTTGGGGTCAAATAAAGAGAAATGATGGCGCTGCTGCTTAAATGATCTCATCTTTCCCAAGTCGTCTAAAGTACACATAAATAAGAGGTCTGTCGAAATGGTGGTTTCAAATAACAGAGTTGGCTCATTTCTTACCTCTAGGATTTTAATAAGAAAAAGACCATCTGAAATCTGGATAAAGGAGATAGCTAATTTCAGACTGCCTGATGACTAGTGCTTAGAGGCAATGTTTACAGCTGGTGCCATTCAAATGAGTTTATTCCTGTAGTTTGGTAAATTTTGCATGCCTTGTTTGGTTTTTGGTTTGATGTAGTTGTTTTGGACCCCCCACCACCAATGCTGAAGATACTACTCCAGAAGAGAACTGTTTAACTTTACATAGGTTAAAATTATATTATCTCAAATTAGATATCCAGAGTGAGTTAACAGTTCAATTAAGAACATCGAGGAATTGCTACATATCACGCTTGTATTTTGCCAAGCATTGGGTTTATGGCAGCTGGGAACTTGATTCAGACCGGCTTGCTGCCCTTAAGAAGCTAACAGTCTAATAAAGCGTGGAATGGCACTAGTCTGCAGTTAATGACACTATAGAATGTGACAAACAAAACACATATATAAGAACATCAACCCTAGAGGACCTTGGAGAATGGATAGGATTTCAGCAAATGGAGATGGAAGAAAGACTGAGAGACAACATGAGGAGAGGTGTGGAGGAATCATCTCTAGGTATGATTGGAAAGTTGTGGGGATTTTTGTTTGTTTGTTTTGATACTTACGGGAGTGATGAAAAGGGGCTGGAAAAGTGTGTTGACGCCATACTACGATGCCACTTCCTCAACACAAGTTGCTTCAGTGTGCTTATGGTGACAGGTTAGGATAACAAAGGAAAAGGACACTTGGATGCCAGTTTTACTAAGGGACAAGATACTGAAATCTTTTGTATATTTAGTTTAATACAAACTTTTGTCCTCTATGTCACACCCTTTAAAGCGTGATTAAAATGATCCTTCATTATGCAAACTGTACCTTTATACAAATCCACTGTTTAAAAGTAACTGATTCATTTCAAGCTTTAATTTTTACCAAATTATAGCAATGAAATAGTCTTTAAGTTTTTCTTTTTAGGACTGTGCTTATTGGTTAATAAGAAAATGTGAATCTATGTCTTAGGACATGGGGACAAATTGCTGACTATTCTTTTTGTGTTTAATATTTTCCCAGTTGTCAGTACTGTTAAAAGCATGTCATCATCCCCTATCTTATCTTAAGAGCAGAAAGTCTTAGCCTTTTCCTGCTCTGAACCATTCAACTACTGGATCATTGACCCCTTTGCTCCCCCCACCCCTCAGCAGCACCATAATAAAACCTGTAAAGTTATCTTTCCACTCCTACAGAAAACCAGGCAACATCTAATGTTTGCATCCATTTAGCATGTGATAATTTTCATTTTCCCTAGGTGAATAAACAGGGTAAATCATTTAATTTACTTTTTGCTTTGGGTGAACTAAATTTTCCTCCTTAAGATACCCATTCCTGCCATTTTATTCATTACCTGAAGTGATAATTTTCAGTTTGACATCTCTTTAATTGGTTTTGGAAATAATTATGTCACAGATGGAGACATTTGTGACTTCAGCTCTGAAGGAAAGAGTAGGACAAATGAAATTCTGAGTCAGAGACTAGCAACTCATGTAGATGGCCTCTGGTTCCAGTGTCTTTCAAAAAAAATTTTTTAAACTGCTGCTTTTGATAGTGATGAAAGTTGGCAGAGTGTTGACCTCATATTTATACTCCCCACTAGCAGATGGTTATTTGCAAATGTTAAATTGGCCCCCCTTTTATAAGCTTTGCATCTCATCGAAACCAACATTACTATAAAATCAAGCCAGGAAATAAAGAGGCTTATTGTGGATTAGACGTTTTAGAATATAGACATCTAAAGTAAACCTAACAACAGATTTCAAAACTAACTTTTTTTAAAAATGTAGTACCTGAAAGACCCCATTCACAGTGGTTAACAGGTTTAAATCAGCGGACTTTGTTCTAGTTTGTACGGCCATGGATAACCAGTTAGACCAAAAAGTGAATTAAAGTAGAACTCTGTACCTATTCTTAACTACATTGTAAATAAATATGGAATGTCATAAATTCAGTTGTTTGAAAGACTTATGTAACCCAAGGTTTTATATTACTGTTTAAGATTAATGTACATCTGCAACTATTTTCATTAGTGATTTATTTGATGGTATATGTGTGTTCTCTAGCCTCAGAGTCGAGAAAAGCTTTTTCTGGCTTTTGGGGGGGGGTACACTGTCAAAAAAATTTAAGCTTATACTCTATCTGAATATTTAGGACTAACACAAAGATGAGGTCAAAATGGAGATTGGAGTGTTTTGATTTTTTTCCCCCCTGCACTGGATTTTCTTGTACCCTACTTTGGCTATCCCTGAGCTAGACCTTAGAAATTTTTTGTCGTCTTTATTGAGCTATGCTGTCTCCACTGATCCCCAGTGGTTGTGTATATTGTCAGTTTTTAAACAATTAATATGTTACATTGCTTAAGGTTGTCTTAAATATATCCTCGTGAAAATTTTTCCCAGTTGCTGAGAGTGGAACCACTCTTCCGGTTCTAAAAAGCAGCAGCTTGGTCTTGTACATAAATTTTCTCTTTAAGGAGAAATATACATTTCATGAGGATAACTAGTTTGAGATAATGCTAAAACACAGTGTCTTTCTTCTTACGGAGGAGGAGGGATTATTGGCATTCTTTCTGCCAGGTAGTATAGCATGTGCTATTTAACTCTGCTAGATGGTTATCCCCATTTTACAGATGTAGAAACTAAGATCCTGATAGGTAATTTACTCAGATAGTGGAACTTGGATTTGGACCAGTTTGTTTGATAGTAAAGTTCTTACTCTGCATTGCTGCCTCAGTACTAAAGCATTTTGCTAGGCTTTAAAATCTAAATAATAGTTTGTATTAGCTCTGGGATTGTTGGGGAAGCATCAGTTATAATTGTTTTGCAAATGAGTGGGGGAATCTACTGCCTTTCCTTCCTACCTTATTAGCTGATGAACTATTTTGATTCACTAGGGAAGAAATGAAAAATGAAGTGGTAATTCAAGGATGTATCTTCTGCCCCCTGATAGAAATGCCACCAACCTAAAAATGATCCCAGAGAGTGAAATAATTGAGAACTAATACTATGTTAGAGATTTCCATTGAGAAAATTTTCCAACAATGTCTATGGGTTGAAATTCTCCGTAGTTCTTACATTTTAAGTTTTCAGGGAAAAGTAGGATTTAGTTATAAGATTGTGCTTATTAGTGTTTCGTGGATTTGGTTTTGAATGAATTTGATATTTGTACAGTGTGATGAATTTAATGCTTTTGTTTTAAACTGTGTCTTAAACATACTTTAGAATGTATGTTTTAGTATAAAAAAATATATATTGAAAACCATCCCAGTTTGCCCTTACCAGTCTCTCTGCTCAGCTGTGGCATATTGGAAAGAGCCATCAATCAGAAATTAAAATTCCTAAATTCTGATTACCCGGTGCCAATAACACACTTTGTGGTTACTTTAATCACTTCAACTCCCTAGGCTTCAGATTCCTCTTCTTCAGCTGGGTATAATCATATCTACTGTACCTCTAGGGACTCTGAATTATACACAAGTTGACATATATATGAAACTGTAACTGAGAAGCACACACTACTTTTAAGTTAAATCTGAAATTAACTTGACCCACTCTGTTTAACCTCATTCACCTTTTCTTGGCTTTAGCCGACAGTTCACACGTTACTGTGTTCTTCCAATGTGATAGAACTAGAACCAACCGATGTCTGAATGCCAGGCAGACACATGGCACTTCTATCCAGATAGGCTTAAATGATGCTGTGAAAACAAAGAGCCCCAACATCTCAATATTAAAACAAAATAAAGGTTTGCTTCTTATTCACAGGGGCTCTGCTCATTTTAGTCACT